CAGCTGCAACTTCAGCCACCCTATCTAGAGCCATAGGGTAGGTACTCCTTGAAGCAAGTCAACAAACATCCTTCAATGCTCCCTCAAACCTCCCAACTGATTGCCAACCTTCATTTAACTCAGAAGTGACCCCTAGGGTCCTTGGAAATCGGTGGGAGGCGATAGCCATTGAAAATAGAGTTGGAAACTCGAGGAACAAACAGAAACAGCACCTCTGGGCGACCGGTCGCTAGCACTGGGCGACCGGTCGCTTTTACACAGAGTCTTCAGCATTTCAGATTTTCTTCCTGCGACCGGTCGCCAGCTCCTTGCGACCGGTCGCTCGTCGATTTTTCTAAAGGCTTCGAATCTGCTTCTAAACGACCGGTCGCTATTCCCTTGCGACCGGTCGCTTCCTGCGACACTTGCATTGTAAATGTGAGCCATTTTACAACAATGCTTGCTTGTGGGGCTGAGTATATATCAGCCATATTACAACGTTATGGCTTGCTGTGTTTTTTGCCTGGTCTTGTGGGAGTGTATGAGATCCTTGATATCTTTTAATAACTGCAGTTGAAGTTAAAAGTTTTCTCTACATAAAACCAGTTGTCATGTCATTTCTTTGAGAGGCCAAATTCAAATTAGAAGAACTTGTAGAATTATAGTTTGGGGACATGGTGGAGTCAATTCGTTTTGGTATCAAATGCCAAACTAAACTGATCAATCCGAACTGGAAACAAATTTTCAACAAAACCAAATCCAACCAAGCAATCTTTTGGGCAGAGCGTTGTATGGTGAGATACTCATACAACTTGATATATGGTATTGAAAAACAGTACCCTGTTAAGTATGTGCCTGGAGCTTAGTTTCTCAATAATCCTCAACCGTTTCACCCGGTGCTTGACCACTTATTGCATAATGTAAGTGACAGAGCTGCATCAGTGAATTCTCTTTAAAAAAATTCAGCATGGCATGCAACTGTCCAGGAGCTGAAACAATATCAATATATGCACTTGTTCAGTGCACTCCAGACATGGACAAGCAAAATTGCAACAATTGCCATAAAGAGTCCATCTCAGAAATTCAAACCTGTCGCGGTGGAAAGCAAGGAGGAAGAGTTCTTAAACCCAGCTGCAATTTAAGGTATGAGGTTAGTCTTTTCTTTGGGTCTACAGCCGATTCGTTAGTAGATGTTCCAGCTCCAGTTCCAACAGCACCAGCACCTGAAGAAGGTACGTATGCGTAAAGAAACGAAGGGTAAAACTTGAACAAGGGAAGTTCAACTCTGTTTATTTATTGTTGACGCTAAAAAATGGTTCAGCACTCTTTAGCCCAACTTAGAGATGAGGTGTGATGATTGATGGGTGAAGGTGAGAACCTTCAGCATGTGTGTGAGGATTTGGGCAAGCGATAAACATACAGAAGACAAGATATACGTGGTTCACCCTTAATGAACGGGCGACGTCCACGGAGAAGTATATTCTCATTATTATAACAATGTGTATTTACATTTGTACAATGGGCTGGGCCCAAATATAAAGAGAAGAAAGTAGAGAAGCTCATGACTGAATACAAAGCCCAACCTAGGGGGGATCCCTTCCTAAGTGGAGAGTGGTCTCCTTTTATAGATGAGAGGGAGTCTTCCCTTCTTGCAATATTTCAATGTGGGACTCTTGGCCTTGCTTAGAATTGCTTCTAGTTGCTTGGTCAAATATGGTATAAACATTTATCTTATCTGAGGTTTTGGAACTCTGTTTGCTAATTCATCTAATCTCAAAAAGAAGAAAAACTTGCATGTCTAAATAAAGTATAATAATGCAGTGCATATATGGCTCTTGAATATGTAATTCATGGTCACTTTTCTGTCAAAACTGATGTCTTCAGTTTTGGGGTGTTAGTTCTTGAAATTGTTAGTGGTAAAAATATTTGTAGTTTCAGATATGGCGAGAATGAAGAGGACTTGTTAAGCTATGCGAGTATGAATGCAATCAAGTCGGTAGATTCCTTCCTTTGCCTTGGTTAAATTTGTTTTTTACTACATTTTGATGTACTTTTATAGGCCTGGAGAAATTGGAGGGAGGATACAGTTGAAAACATCATAGATCCGGTGTTGACGAGAAGTTCATGAATCGAAGCGATGAGATGCATCCACATTGGTTTACTATGTGTGCAAGAAAATGTGGTGGACTGACACAGACCAACCGTGGCTTCAGTTGTATCCATGCTTAACAGCCAGTCTCTGACACTTGCAGTACCCTCACAATCTGCATTTTATATATGAATCCACAACACTGGATCAGACAAATCGACGTTGACTGAGTCTGACCAATCCAAAAGCCTCTCTGTCTATACATCAAAATATGAGACTTGAAATTACTGAACCATTTTCCATCTCTCTCTACTACTGAATTGAAACCCTCCTTTTTCAAATGGTGCGGCAGCTTTCCTTTGAGAGCCAGGGAACAAAACCTCATCAATTTCCCAAATAGTTGGAAGGACAAGAGGCGGGTGGGCCCGTGATACAAAGTGATCCTAGAGCTTTCACGCCAATATCACTTGTTGACGCCAAAAAGTGGTTCTTTGACTTTGAGGGTCAACTTAGTAATTTTGTAGTTTTATACCTTCGGTATCCTTAGAGCCTCGGTAGGGAGCGTGATCTGCAAAATGAGAAAACGCACTGTAAGACCCAAGGCACCGGTGTGGTACCGGCCGAAGGCTCTCCGATGCTTAAGTAAGTTCGGGATTAGAAAGTTCAACTGACAGATCAATAGGCTCGTATGCCGTCAGTTCTGATTACCTCTATTTTTGGGGTGATTGGCCTCCTTTATAGGCCTTGGGAGGTGTGCACTTTGTTGATAATTTCGATGTGGGACTGTGGGCGTCGCTTGGGAGCATGCCACGTGTCCCAGGAGGGGGTGTTGCCCTAATGGAGCGATCGGTAGGCAGGGTGTCGAAGGCTTCCCTGACCAGGCTCGATTTCTTCCACGCGTCTTGTTCTCATTGGCTGTTCATTTTGGGTATAAACATCACTCATCAAATTAACTTAAGTTGGCTGCCACATACTTGGCAATAACACACTCCTGCATTTAAATGTAACGAGAAATTAAAACGGCAACTAACAAAATTGAAACCCAATAAAACCACTTGAGTCGGTAGAAATCAAGAAAATAAAATGCCTTTAAATTTTGGTTTATTTAGTTATCACCAAAGTTTAGTTGGTGTATTTTACCAAAAAAAAAAAAAGTTTAGTTGGTGTCTTCTTGCGTCAAATTTGGTATGCTTATCTCCATGCAGTTCTCTGTCTATTGTTCTCTGTTCTCACACCCAGCAGTAGTGAGATCGACGAGGGAGGAGAGGGAGAGGGAGCAAAAACCTTAAAATCTCTTCTTCTTTTTTTTGTTTTCAATAATAGGGGTGTTTTTGAGTGTTTTATAGGTTTGAGTTTTTAAAAATTGGCCTACCAAATGGATTTTTTGGACTTTGGTCTTAAAATTTATTTTTGAGCTTATAAAATTGGATCAAATTAGGATACCAAAGGAGCCCTTGGGCTTTGAAATATACCGTTTCTATTGTTCTAAGGTATCGTTTAAGTTTACATTGATCTCAAAAAATGCGATCCACTTTCTTAATTATTTCTTGATTTTCCTATCACCTTTTGCACAAAAGAAATTGGATGAATTGTCTATGCTCTGTTTGTGTGGTGGTGATTACATTACTGTATGTTTTGATAGAGTAGATGAGAACAGAATCTGGCGTAATCGAAGGTTTGTTTTTATTTTCTTTGTTTGTTTCTAACAAAAGTTAAAAGAAAAGAAAAAAAACAAAAACAGAGAGAGAGAGAGAGAGAGAGAGAATACGTATACCAAAGGCGAGGGACCTTTGAATTTCCTCTCTCTTGTCCTTCCTAAGATACAAAGTTACAAGATCTCTTCAAAGTCACGAAAAATATCGGTACAAAAGTCAAGAAAAAGCCCAAAAAATGCTAGCTAGTCTATTGAAGCTGTAAGTTAAAAGTTTTCTCTACATAAAACCAGTTGTCATGTCATTTCTTTGAGAGGCCAAATTAAAATTAGAAAAGAACTTGTAGAATTGTAGTTTGGGGACATGGCGGAGTCAATTCGTTTTGGTATCAAATGCCAAACTAAACTGATCAATCCGAACCGGAAACAAATTTTCAACAAAACCAAACCAACCCAAATCCAACCAACCAATCACCAAATAAAAAAGCCAACACAAGCCAATAAATTTTGGATTAATTTGGTACCAACCCGCCGTAGAGGATACGGAATGTACAAGGTAAAGTGTGGCTGATATCAGCCGACACTATACTAGACTCACATGGCCTCTTTTTTTTTTTTTGGTCAACCATGAATTAGATTCCAAGCCAAAAGGCAACGGCAAGGAAATACATAGAAAGCAGTTTCTGATACAAACTACAGAAGCTCCTTCATCTGAATC